GATGCTCCGCGTATTCCGAGGGGGGGGGGAGGGGGCTTGTGAAGTCCGCCCCCGCAGCAGCCCACTCCCAGGACCTGGCTACCAAAGGGACAAGTCACGTCGCAGAAGCGGGTTTTTACCTGGTATGACAACCCAGTAGTGGAGTGTGAAGGAGCCACTTGGGTTCGCTGTGACGAGTCGCGGCGACGCTGCATGCTCGGCTCGTAGGTGTCGCACGGCCTGTGCCTAAACTTATCTGCGCTTTCTCAGTTAGGCCCTGTACAGAGGTGTTACTTATTTATGAGAGCCTGTTTGCACATTTCCTGATGACTAACTCCTGCCATAAAAATAACGAAAGTTGCTGTTTTACATCCCGGCGATATTCCGGATTGTAAAGGGGGGCGCGGTCGCAGCCTTGTGGGTCACACCTGACGGGCCGAGCTGAACCGGGGTTCGCGATGAACCGCCCTGCCGTTACTCCTCAACCGGAAAGCATGAGCAGTGGTCTGTAACAGGGCCCGGCCATGGTACTGCTATGGTGACATCACTCATGTCCTGCGTATAGCTATGAATGGCAGAAGTTTCTCTTTAATTTCTCTCGGAGTAACTACATTCATTACTATTATCAGTTAGGAGATCAGAGTTCCTGGTTTGCTGGACTGTGGGTGCAGTGCTGTGACAGTCAGAATCACTCACAGTCAGAGTCACTCACAGTCAGAGTCACTCACAGTCAGAATCACTCACAGTCAGAATCACTCACAGTCAGAATCACTCACAGTCAGAGTCACTCACAGTCAGAATCACTCACAGTCAGAACAGGTATCACGGACGTCATCTTTAAGACCCCAGAATCTTCACCTTGTCAAGCCCCACCCTATCTGGAATCCCCCAGCATGCATTGCAACCCCTGCCTGCCCCCCCCCCTCATGCACCCCACCATTATTGCCATAGACTTACTGCACTTCAGTTGACACACTTCCTGAGCTCAAGATGGACAGCAGACTTCTTGTTTGCCAAGAACAGCTACAGAAGTACCAGGGCCGATTCTAGGGGATTTTAGGTGGGAGGGCACCCCTAATTTTATCATTTGCCAGTGAGTTCCAGTGGAGGGGGCACTCCAGGGGCCAAACAGGTTTTAACTGGGGCAAGTACCCCTTTGGCCCCGCCTCTGTATTTACCCCTGTGAAGAACTATGTTGTGTTTGAGGTGAGGGCCATGGTAGGATTGTAGTGATATACGCTTCCTCTCCTCACACCCTAATCCAGTGCCTGACTTCAGATAGTCCTGTTAACACACAATTACCTCATATAAACATCAAGATGACAGGCGACTGGAAAGGAGCTACGAATATGAACCGTAAATGTGCAGATGGCAACTCTGTTTCAGCGATCTATATTACTCCGTGTTTTACTGATTTACTACCATTCGCACTAAGATCTCATACGGCTATTAAATGGATTATTAGCCTACCATTAATAATCTCGGTTACCATCGTGTGGAAATCAAGCAAAACACCTCTGCGAGTCAGATCTGTGGGATACTATAGAAGGCATCACACTGTAGCATTGTCTAAGGTTAGAACTGCACGCTTTGCACAGACACCCACACGTCCACTCGATACCTAATTAACATGTTAAACAAACCAGCATTTATACAGCGCTGGAGAATTTACAGAACGCGAAATACAGTAGATTAATCATTCCTATTTGCTTGTTTTTTTTTTTTTAAATATGTTTTAGCCCTACATGTTTTATTCGACACATATTTAATGTACAAGTAACGAAATAACGATATTAATAAAATGAAATAATAAATAGGCGTAATTACTAAAATCTAAAATAGAGCAGGTGCTTCATGGAAAACCGCTAGGAAAAAAATAATACGACATTCATATTCATGATGTTTCTAGTCAGCTCTGTTTATAAAGCGCCAGTCTCCACTGGCCGCCCGTCTGCCAGCTTCAGCCGACGGCCGCTCTCCGGCTACTCTGCTGTACTGCGTTCAAGCACACGCTGTCCACAGCACAGGCACGTCCTGCTCCTCTCCACGATGTTCTTTACGCTGGTTTTTATGTCACATTATGCTCAGATGCCCACAACCACATCCACCGAGACATGATACATATAGCCGCGTGTTTATGTTAAACGCGCATATCTTAACATGAGAAATAAGCGCACAGTCACATCTGGACCACCTTCTTAATTTTGCAGGCGAAAAAATAAGGTTGATGGTTTGATACAGTCTCTGACTAAGTGATCAGATGAAGCCTGATTCAGAGAGAAACGGTAATAAGGTGCATGGCCAGCAGAGGGTGTATTAGTTAGGGAAATAAATGATCTGCAGGGAATTGCAGATTGCAGGTCCATGGTGTCGTCGCTGAAATTTTACTCGCAGTGTGTGACCGACAATACAAACAGTTTTCCCCTGAAAACTGCTATTTGCCTAGGCTAACCTAATTGTTCTGCTTCCTTCCAACGCTCCACTACCAGAACTGTAACTCAAATTAACACAGAGACTCAGTCAACTAAAACTGATTAATGTATCGATAGATATTTAGTTGTTCTCAATGAATAGTTATACGAAAGCACTATTAGCCTACACTGCGACACAAAAGGGAAAATTGCTCTGTGCAAGCAAGTTATTCCCAAGTGTGTCGAGGAAGCAAATCCAGTCACGGGTAAAATACATTTAGGCCACTAATAATAAATTGTCCGAAATGTAAAATGTTCCGGTGAAATCCGAAAGGCATCTTTATTTTATTTTTGTAACCTACTTTTTGCATGCGATTATTCAACTGAAAGCAATACATGTCATTTTCAAACACAGCTGGCATGCCATAAATATATAAACATATTGGTGTCTGCGACATTATCTAAGAACTCGCTAACATTAATGATTAATAAGTATTTTGTCACTCCTATCACTGCCGAGAGCACCAAACAAACAACACTGACAACACCTTTTATGTATTAAAGAGTTTTGTGACACCCATTATTGTCACACACACGATCAAATGGCTAAATGCATCTCTGATGTTTTCTGGATGCAGGTCCTTTTTTTACGGGATCGGATGGACTCCTTAAGCACCCCCTCCGTCCTGCACACCATAATCCGGCACGATGGTGAACACGAGGCGATGCAGGCATGTCCCGAACAGAGTATATGACGATGTGTAGATCTTTAATTAAAAGCTTCTTTCTCTACGACGCATAGGGACCGTCTAAAAAATCATAAATCAGTCGATCAACGGCACACGGCAATTGCATTACAACAGAAATAAAACAGCCAAGACACAAAAACTAGAAAAGGAAGATAAACTTTCAATTATACCTGTGACTGGGTGCGAACGCCGGTTTTCAACATCAGTTTAACGGTGAGTAGCCTATATTTTATATATAAAGATGTTTAATGAGATTTACAGCTACAACATCAAGATAGACAGATTTGCATTCATCATTTAGGGCCTACTTTGTTAAGACTACTTCGGGAAGATAAGATAAGATAAGATAAGATAAGATAAGATAAGATAAGATAAGATAAGATAGACTTTATTGATCTCAGGGGGAAATTATTGACGTGGCCCACCTAAGTCTTAATTGAACATTCCCCTCATGAACACAACACACACCCAACGTGTTTATTAAAGATCTTAACACTGTCCCACATTAACATCAACTGTTTAAACCAATTGGATATAAGAACCACTTCCATTTTCCACACAGGACTCTGCCTTTAAAGCTATTCCCGTAAGTTTGCATTTGGCAGAATACAGTGTTACATGAAAGCGGCAGCTCACTGCAAATGGTGTTTAGGAACACCAGGTGTTTGGCAAGAAAGCTAGAAATAATGAAAATACGGAGGTGTCACCAGCTTTCAGTGAGATCCATGGAACACGCTGGAAACCAATTTTATATGTGTGTATATTATATTTTACACACGCGTCACGTGGTGTTTCTAAACACCATGTGGTTGTATTGCAGTACAATTGCCATCAATCCAGGCTTTCTATGCATATTCTATCTCTGTATTAGCGCTGGAAGGGGCCTCTCACTTAAAGGGGCCGTTGTAATACTTTGCTGGGAATTTTAACTTTCGTGCACCGTAGACACGATTACACTTATCAAATTTACACTACTCTACACTCTGCGCCCTATAAAGGAATACGTCTATGTTATGGGTAATGTATGCTTTTTACGATACGAATCACGAAGTTGTGCAGGCCTAGTTTTAATAATCAAATACAAAATATAAATAAATACCAACAGTCGAACGCTCATGACCTGTGTCTCTTCCCCAGATTACACCCGATGCGCGTGAAGGAGGTAATAAACGAAGCAAGCGGTCTCTTAAAATATTACTTTGTTCCCAGGGGTCAGCAATGGTTACGATCAATGGAAAAGGACATGCATCTTTTTTATTGCCCTGCGTCTCTTAATATTGCATGTGCACGCAAATAAGCAAGTTTTCGGGGTGCCAAGCCAACGAAACAGTTTAAATCACCTTAATAAGCCAAAAGATGTAGCAAATTAAATTATGCCGAATGATTGTATATGCTCAAAAACACATATAGCGTCAGCGCCATACATAGGTCATTCTTAATCGGAAAAATATAACAAAATAAAAATTAATAAAAATAAAACCCTAAAATAGTCTCACGAGCATCGCAAGCGTAACACTACTGTACTGAATTAGGATAGGTGTAATGCTTGAGAGCTTTTTAGTCTCCTAACTCACTCTGGATGGTGTTGTTTCACGGGTAGAGGGGTCAGCACACTGCAGCTCGCCCTGCTGTCAAACGCACGAGCGTTCCCGCCGCAAACGCATACAAGCCGCACGGCGCTTTAAGCGCGGACTAGGCGGCTTCTCCGCATCGCCTCCGCAGGGTTTTACACGATCCGGGGGAGCGCATGCAGCCTTCCTGCGCTAAAGTGGGTCGCTGCTGCTGTCAGTATGCCAGTGCCTAAGACCCCCGCAACAGCACCCAGGCGATCCGCGGTACGCAGCCCCGGCTGGAGACTGACCGAACTTTGGCTGCCACGGAGGATATCGCGTCGGTCCTCAGGTTCTTCCGTTTGGACACAGCGGTTCCCATGCTGGAGTGGAAACGGCGCTGGGGCTGGAGCTGCTCATTCCAGGAGCGGAGATCGGGAGGAGGTGTAGAAGAGAAGGATCATCGGCCACCTCCGTCGTACGACCGGAGGAGAAACAACAAGTGTCAGGAGGCAGGGCTAATTTGTACGCGATGTCAAAGGAACAGGTAGAGGTAGGGGATTGGAGACCGAGCGGAGAGCTGTCCCACCATCACCACCCCACCCCCCCATCCGGACCGCTAGTAAATGCGATGAAGTCAATGAAGATCGAGGAAGGAAAAAAAAACACACACACACACTGGGATGCGCACATCGCCAAAGAGCAGCCGTCCCTTCGGCTTCGCTTTTCTCCTCCCCTCATTGATGTGAAAGAGGGGGGGGGGACAGTGAACAGGAAGGAAACGGCAACCTTAATAGGAGCTCCACTGCAGCCCCTCCCCCTTCGACCAACGGAGCGATTGCATTATTAAGGTGAGGGCAGGTGAGTTTTCAAACGGAGACGTTTGTTAGAGAAATGGGTCAGTAGAGCTACATGCTGTCCATGGAAGAGGTGACGGAGTACGGCGACAAGTGTGCCCACGTGACAACTTTTGTGGCAGCTTGTTTGTAAACACGCGCCATACTAACTGCATTGTCGTAGAGGACTAGGACAGCGCATAGGATGGGTTAAGGTGCACCGGTAAGCTAGATGTCCGGGGAATGCTGCATTAGTACACGTAGGAAAAGTACTTCCCGAATTTCGGCAGGTAGAATTCGAGCCGCACAATTAAGTCAAAATATAATAATATAATAATTATAAATTTGAAATACTTATGAAGGCATCCTAAAGGTAAATGTTTTACGTGACGAGAAAGAAGTTTATGTATTTATGGTGGCTGACAGCAGGAGGTAATTGCAAAAAAATTGTTAGGGCTGTGTCAAAGAAACTGTCTGGGTACTTGCAGAATATTTCGTCCAGCTTTACTTAAAATCAGATTTGGGTAATTCAGGTCCCGAGAGTAAAGGTTCAGACCGGTATTTTGTTTCAACATAAAGAAACAAAAAAAAAACATAAAGAGTCACAATCACTGAGTACTCAACTGGTTGGTTGAAACAAAATCCAGGTCTAGACTTTTATTCTTGGAACCTGAATTACTCACCTCTACTTACAACCCAGTTGGGACATTGTGTAAAATGTAAATAAAAGTAAAATGCAATAATTTGCAAATATTATAAACCCATATTTAACTGAAAACAGAACAAAGACAAAATATCAAATGTTGAAAATGAGAAATTTTGCTTTATGTCAAATACATGCTCAATTTGAATTTAATGCCAGCAACGCGTTTCAAAAACGTTGGGCCGGGGCAACAAAAGACTGTACTAAAGCAAAACACATGGTTGAATATCTTATAATTAATTTAGTTAGTTGGTAACAGGTCAGTTGCCATGCAAAGAAGAATCCATATGTAAACATGATCCAGAAACACCACCGACTTCTCTGGGCCTCAGCTCATTTAAGAAGGACTCGGGCAAAATGGAAAACTGTCCTGTGGTCTTTTGGTGCATCAGGAAACAAAAAATACGACAAAGGAGAGACCCCAAACTGTTGAGCAGTTGAAATCCTACATCAGGCAAGAGAACATTTCACTTTCAGAACTCCAGCATCTGGTCTCCTCAGTTCCCAAACATTTACAGAGTGTTGTTAAAAGAAGAGGTGATGCAACACAGTGGTAAACATGCCCCTGTCCCAACTTTTCGAAACATGTTGCTGACATCAAATTCAAATTGAGCTTATATTTGTCATAAAACAATAAAATTTCTCAGTTTTAGCATCTGATATGTTGTCATTGTTCTATTTTCAATTAACTATGGGTTTATATGACTAGTAAATCACGGCATTCTGTTTTTATTTACATTTCACACAGCGCCCCAATTTCTGGGTTGTAGGAAGATGATTTGGGGATTTGGGGGCAGGGGAGGGCATACCTTAATTGGTATAATTATTTTGCTTGGTATATTTTGCCACAGACTGGAGGGGTTCCTCCTTGGGTATATGTTGCTGATTGCAATCAACTGGTTGGCCACCAATTATGAAAAAAATCCTTATGCATCTTCTGTGGTCGACCTGGAATTAGGCAGAGATTGAAGAACAAGTCCCCCCCCCCAAAGAAAAAAAAAAATATATATATATATATTGAGAGAGAGAGAGAGAGGAGAGAGAGAGAGAGAGAGGCTATGTAATGCTGGGGTTGGGGGAGAAAAAAAAACAAAATTCCCAAACTTCCCAATATGCCGTCCAAGCCTGGAGTATGCGCAAGACACAAATTATACTAGTTTATTTTGGACGGCGTGAATCTGGAAAGGGAACTGTAAGATGAAGAAGCCGTGTAACATGTCCAACTGAAGAGAGGAGAGGAGTGATGAGGCGTCGCGCGGAAGTGGGAGGACGTGTCAGCTTGCTATCGGCACAGCTGAAAGAATGAGCATTATTTTAATGGGAGTAGTGTGTCCGTGTTTGCGTGTTTGTGTCTCACATGTGAGTGGATTGAGGAACCAGAACGAAGGAGAGCAGGCATCCAGACATGAATCGCTGCAGTCTTTAAACGCTTCCCTAAATATGTCCTTGTTAGCAAAAATAAAAACTGTGACTGATGGTTCTCCAGATAAAGCTACTTATAATGTAACAGAAACACGTAATCGGAATGAAGAATAGCATGGTAATCATTAGTAAACTCTACCCCTCCCCCATCGTGATAATTTATGGAGGGACCACACACACCCCCACCCCCCACGGCAAAAAGTGGAGGGATGTCTTCTCCTCACCTGACTCTAGAGGGCACTCCTGGGCACTTGGCCACATTCTTCCTCATAGCTGTAATACATGTAGATGTACAAAAACACCAGCAAGCTTCTACCATACGAATAACAGCAATTTCACATGGCATGAAAAAAATCACCAGCAGCACATTGAGCCAGGTGTCATACAACTGACTAGTGATTTGAGAAACCTTAGCTGTCATTATCCCCCATGATTCCACCTCCCTCCTTTAAAAATCCCAGCCGTGCATGAATATTCATGTGACAAAACACTATGCCCTTAAAGTGACAGTGCGCTGCACACTCCCAGTGATTGTTACCTCCTGGTGATCCATGACTAGTCTTGCTTCTTCGGACATCTTGCAGGTCGGAGGTCATAACCTTGACAACATGATTACATGGTACAATGTGCAAGTGTGAAAAGAAAGTCTGGCAGAGGTGTAAATAGCTCGCTGTAGTAGGTGCCCCAGGTTGACCTTTGAACAGGTTGGACCTTTTTAGCACAGGCGCATGGCCACCCCTGGGTCGAACCACTTGAGAATCATCATTTGTTTTAGCAAATGGGCAGAGAGCTGGAGGGCTGGGCTTGTGTGAGTGTGTGTCTGTGCTCTATTCCCAGAGCCTGGCAGCTCTCCCATCATCCTTTGCAGCTGCTGTCAATCAGCACAATGATGCATGAAAATTGACAGGGAAATGGGCTAGAGAGCTCAGCAAAACCTTTATTTGGGAAAGTGACTTGATAATTAACAATGGGGAGTCTCACGGGGCTCAGTATGAGATACTGTACGGGGGGTTATTTTTCATCTTTCATCTTGACTGTAATGATTCAGCTTTTATTTTCAAACTTTTACAGAAAAAGGAAATTGTGTAGTCATGAAGAAAAAGACATGGAGGAGAGCAGCATCGGCATACGATAGAGAAAATCATGTGTGCCGTTCCCCTGCTCTTTTATCACCGTCATAAGGTCTCCCTGTCCGGTGACAGAACCGTGTGGCATTCCCCTGTCTCGTCATCCCTGTCACAAGGTCTCCCTGTCAGGTGACAGAGCCGTGTGCCGTGTGGCATTCCCCTGTCTCGTCATCCCTGTCACAAGGTCTCCCTGTCAGGTGACAGAGCCGTGTGCCGTGTGGCATTCCCCTGTCTCGTCGTCCCTTTCACAAGGTCTCCCTGTCAGGTGACAGAACCGAGTGCCATGTGGCGTTCCCCTGTCTCGTCATCCCTGTCACAAGGTCTCCCTGTCAGGTGACAGAGCTGCATCCAGAAAGATTCCTGCTTTGCATCCATGAGTTTCCAGGCTGTTTCTCTGGCATCACCCGGTGGGGGCACTCTGTGATTCTCATGCAGACACCAAGAGGATGCAGCACAGCGGGATGGAAGAATCCCCCCCAGGGAGGTGGGCAACTCCCCAGGCAAGAGCAGTGTTCACGAAGTGATTGCTATCCTAGTGGCTCATACCACAGGCACCAAAGGAACCCAACAATGTCTCAGTTTAAATGGCTTTTTCTTAAGAAATATTCATTGTGTATCAGGGCATTACATAATCAAATATTTGATGCTGAACCAAAGATCATTTTCATGAGGGACTCCTAAAAATGTGGTTAATTAATGTAATTCTTTCAATCATTCAGAAAGCATAGATGTAAATGGACACTGATACTTACTCAAAGGCTGATTGTCGAGTAGGGTAGCACCTCTTCATGGACCTGGATCTGTGTGTCTCATAGTGTGTGCATGTGTGTGTGTGTATGTGGAGAATCTTTGTGTGTCAGAGTGTGTTCATGCATGTGCGTGTATGTGGAGGATCTGTGTGGCATTCCCCTGCATGCGTGTGCATGTATGTGGAGGATTTTTGTGTCAGAGTGTGTGCATGCGTGTGCATGTATGTAGAGGATCCTTGTGTGTCAGAGAGTGCATGTGTGTACATGTATATGGAGGATCTTTGTGTGTCAGAGTGTGTTCATGTATATGCCTGTATGTGGAGGATCTTTGTGTGTCAGAGTGTGTTCATGTATATGCCTGTATGTGGAGGATCTTCTGCAGATGGCACATGGACCCATCATACAGCCTCATCAGCCGGCCTGCTAATGTGGTCCATTATACCCCTTGGCACAAGAAGAGCAGTGACCCTACAGTCCAGCATTGACTGGATACTCGCCATTCCTGCTCACCCCTGCCCTCTTCATCACTGGCTGCTGTTTCTACCTGCTAACGCCCAAGTTTAGCTCATGAAAAATTACAAATTTTGGAAATACGCTGGTCTTGCAGTCACATGACTCACTCTCAGCTGACTGTTCTTTGACACCCAGGAGAAGATCACATGTCCTGAGTAAACAAGCTCTCTCACCCTACATCTACATCACCCCCGGCCCTAGAGGGGGTTGCTGGAAGTGACAGATGGCCTTCCTTTACTAAGATATATATAATAGCTTTTATGAGTAATCTGGTGAAACCTGCAAAGCAAGTGTCATTAGTCTGGAAGTTACCTCGCGGCTGTCTATTAAACGACCATCAAATGGCCGTTAAATTTGTTCCAGCACTGGAACCCTCCGCACCGGATTTCTGCCGCGTTTTTGAAGGAGACATACAATGGCACACCTTGGATTGATTAAAAGCAAGGACATACAGCATAGGCTGCATCAGAACTGGCATTAACAGAGTGGTTCTTATTGAAGAAATGCAATATGGCTTCTCCTGTGATGTTCCTCGCATTGTCGTGTTATTTTAAGGGATGCAGAGCCTGAGCTGGCCTGTCCTGAGAGTCTCTATTTAGCATCTGCCAAATTAACGACTGGAAATGTAATGGCCAGATTTTTAGGAGGTAAATCAGAGTGTTGAACTTCCTCCTGTTGGACTGTTACTGCTCTGGAAATGACCATATTCAAGTGTTAAAATCTCAAGCAAAGGTTGATAGTCACAGCCCTTCCCAAGTTGAAGCCCCCTTGAGGTCGCAGATGTAGCAACTTATGTGCTGCTAATTCAGCACAATACTGTCTCATTACTGGAATGTTCTGTGGGTGCAGGCTG